GCTTGGAGGTTGGGGCCGCTCAGGCGCAACTTTCCACCGTCCCTTGGGAGCGGAGGACCTCCCTCTAAGCCTCCAGGAAAAGGCATTGCACCCCGTGGATGCCGGATCGGAAGGTGCAGGGAAATACCGCTCAAACACCGGAAGATTATCTTCCACCAGACAAAAGATACCTTTCGTGAAGGTATCATCAGCAAGGTCATCAAGAAAACGTTTGCCCGCAGCTGAAGCATCAAGCAGCTTAATTTCGGCCTTCAAGGGATCATCGTTGCCTTTGAGATGTCCCCCAATATACTAAGGAAGGAACTGCTTGGAGGTGTTCTTCAGCGCCTCCTGTCAGGCCTTAGAGCGTTGGAAATCCACCGACCAGATGTCCCTATGGCGAAAACATCCACCTCGTAGGGGCTCGGGACTTGCTCGTCCTTTCTAACCCACCAGAGAGTGACCCCCAACCTATCTACAGCTGCCAACTTGGCTCAAAGAGTATGTATCTTATCATCGCGCCGACTAAGCTACTCCTTCAGATGTGTGTTTTCCTAAGCGGTCTTGTCTGCAATCAAGAAACTACATCTTTTTATGTCGGAACAACGCTTCAACATCACTTTTTACCTTGGCCAATTGCATGGCCTGACGTTCGAATGTCGCCCGAGCCTTATTGAGGTACACGTCGGCCTATAGACAATTTGCAATGCTCAACAAGCAATCCATTCAAGGACATATGGTTCCTCTGCCCTGCAGAACTCTAATTCTTTGGCTAAGTCCTTAACTAGACTTGGTCTCCGGGTCCTCCAAACTAAGACCATGGCAAACTGCATTTCTACAAGTGGGTCAACATTTACCTCTTATATAGTTGTCTAAGGAGGAACTTTTGTTGGCATTGAGTTAGGTTCACTAGAGTCTGGCATAACAACTCTGGTAGTACATGTGTTGGCTAAAGGGTCAAATAGGCCCTTGAACTAACTTAAAGTGTTCAATTAGCCCCTCATATAGGAGGTTCAACCCGGCCATCGCCAATTGGGGAGGTTTCCGATGGAATTTTTTGATGAAATTTTGTGAGCATCTTCTTCATTAAGTCTAGTTTACCCATATCAAATTTTAGCTAAAAATTAAATCGGGAAGGCAGTCAAATGATTTTCAGAAATGTACTGCGTTGTTTAATTGCGTAGTTATATTCAAAAAATCATTTGAACACTTTAAGTTAATTCAAGGGTCTATTTGACCCCTTAGCCTACATGTGTTTGGACTTCTGGTTCCCCTTAGAGATAGTCTGATATTGTCATAGTGGTTCCTCCTCAGCAACAGGTTCATTGTAAAGTTGTTTCTTATAACTGCAACTGCACAACCTTCTTAGAGGACTTCTTGGTTCTCTTTGTCTTTCTTGGAGCTTCTGTGGTAGCTAGCTTTCCTCTTAAAGACTTTTTTTGTCAAGTTCCATTTCTCAACAGCGATGGCCTTAACGATGGCCTTAGTGATGGCCTTAGCCCTGTTCTGAGTAGCGGTTAACAAACCAGAATAGTTCTCAAAAAGTTTCTTAAGTTTTCAAAAAAATATCAATGAGTAGAGTTAAAAAAAACACTTGGAATTCTGCAAAAAAAGTTTTTGTAAAATGATTAACACATTTAATTCTATGAAAGGTTTTTTTTATAAAAGTAAAAGCTAAAGTGCATTGTTTGATCGTTTTTTGATGTTAGAATCGACTAGGGTTGATCAAAATGAAGAGGCGTTGAACTGGGATCAGTATATGAAAAGAATACCTCAGAAATAATCATAAAACAATATTGGAAATCAGATCGGAAAAAAATTAAATTCTGACAATTACAATTGATCCTTAATTAATTTTCAACATTTTGAGTATATTCTCGAAAGATTTGATATGGAAACTCGTGACTTGGATCATTAAACATATCAATGGAATAATTTTGGAAAATCATAAGCTCGTACAGAAGGCTTAGAAATCTGGAGTCGAATTGAACTCTTCTATGTGAAACAAGAGGCCATGGGTGCTTGTTTGGAAATGTTGGAAAATGATACCATAAAGCTCCGGAAAACCAAGAGTCCTATTATGAAGAACATGAGAGTTCAATTAGGAAAACGTCAAGTAAATAAATTTAAATATGTTTGAAATGATAAACCAGTTTGATGTTTGTTCCATAAATTGAAATCCAGTCTTAATTAAATGTATTTTTATCATTCTAGGTAGACTTTAAACCACTCAACACGCATACTAGTTTCATTAGTGGTAAACATCAAAATCATCATTAGCACAAGTCTGCAAATATTGTATAAAATAAAAATAGAATCATTTAGAATCATATGAAATCGTAGCAAAATCGTAAAAGAATTGTAGTGATGATAGTTTAGTTAAAGTGGTTCGTAATTACTTAAATTAGCTGTGAGATTTTTATGTATAATTACAATTGTAATAAGAGGAATAATAAATTTAGTGAAAGTAATGGATACTTCTGTTTAATTAAATTTGTGTTTTACATGTGTAATGTTCATGATTACACATTTACACATATAAAAGCAATTTAATTAATTATTAAGTGTAGTGTTTATAATTCGTTTATTTACATTATAAAAGCAGTTTATACATCTTGTTTATGACCTCATGTGTTTAGTTTTAGTTATGTAAAAGTGTTTCACGAGATGTAATGATGTATAATACCGCTTCATGCTACTCGGTCCTCGGGTATTTCACTGTTATCATTAACTTGCTCAAAGCTACTCAGTCTTGTCTTACCCAATCAAGATTTCATCTAGAAGCCATCTTGAGACTCATGTTTGGTTGATGCTAAATGACCAACTATCTAAACTCTAAAGATATTTAAATGATTACTTAAGAATTTGGCTAGGTGTTTGGTGAGCTAAGATGAAAAGTGATTAATTAGCACTTTCTTCTTGTTAGATATATATCTTCCTAAGCGCTTCTTTTTCTTAAGTTGCACATTTTTCATCAAAAACTCTTCCTTCGTATTTATAAGACTCATAAAACATACTGTATCTTGTTAGTGTAGGAAAGTACCTTTGAGACCAACAACATTTTGACCAGGACCAGCTTGAACAAGTTCCCAAATTCTCTGTTTAACAAAGACATCAAATTCTTAAATTATAGATATCTTTGAACTGAGTGTCACCGGAGGTCTGTATGGAATTTTCAATGGATTCGAACTCCAGGCAGAATCCCTCTGGTGCCTAGATGAGGAAGTCTTCATCGTCCACCGGTCGTTTTGACAATGCCAGCTCATCAACTAGGGTTCAAAGGTTGTGAAGATACTCATTGACAGGTTGAGCTTCCTGCTGCATATGGTGGAATCAATCTTTGAGGTTCCAGATCATGGAGGCTGACTGAGTCTTGTAGAGCCGCTCAAGTTTCTTCAAGATAGTGGCAGACGTGCATCGGGAGCTGATTTTAATGGTTTACAGGCCGAGCTAAGGGAGGAGACTAGGGCGTGGCGGAGAAGTCAGTCTTTCTGATTCCATCAGAGACAACCGACTGCATCACTTTCAGATGGCCGTGCAGTCTTATCTTCTACATACTGACTCAAATGTGACCCGACAAGAAGGTCAAGAACCTGGTCAAGCCAATCAGGTAATTCGATCCATCTAATTTTTTCGGGAGTCTCCATTTCCATCAATGGTCATTAGATAACACAAAGAGAAGACTGGTTTAAGGGAGGGAAATTGCAGACTAAAATGCATACATTATTCTTATGTTTGTACTACTGTTTATGCAAGGATTAGGAGCCTATAATAATCACTATACTAATTACAAAGATATGTAACTGTTATAACTGAACATTTTGATAATTATAATTTCAGCACCTTAATCCCAATTACTTAGGGTCAGAGGCACTAAATTCATTCATAGTTCAGATTCAGTATTAAATTGGGAGATTTCCCAACATAGGAGTAAACAAATTTCCGAATTCCAAAATAGGATGTTGTTCTTTCCAGAATAGGAGCAACATGGCAGTATTTACTGCCATCTTGTAGGCATGACTGCCAAATATTTGCAGCACTACGCATTCAACATGAGAGTTTTATCCCAAGCTAGAATCAGCTATTTGGCTGATTTATTCAGCTTTAATCATTTGCGTTTTTAATGCTCACCTTTTTTGTTGTTTGTTTATATTTCATATTTGGGTCAGGTCTAGTCCCCCCAAATATTCCTCTATTTTATTTCGTGTATTTTTAAGAGGCATACCTCTTTGGAGAGATTTTGGTTTGATCCCCTCTCTTTTTGTACTTCCTTTGCTTTTATTATAAAATACGGCAAATGTTCCCCGGCATTTGCCCCACCGATAGGTGGTTTGCCTTCCGGGTAAAAAAAAAACAGTATTAATTACAATTAATGACAGTATTTTTCAATCATGTAAGTATTTTTCAATCATGCCAGTATCCTATTTTGGGGAGAAAAACATAGTAGTCTTATTTTAGAATTGTCCTAATTACTCCTAATTAGGGCAATTTCCCTATTAAATTAACTAAAAATGATGGCAATGTTTTATGTCAGATATGCTTCCTGTTGGGAGCTTACTAAGGATTAACAAGATAAAATTGTCATCGTAGGTAATTTCAACATGCATAGGGTTGATATAGTTAGTATTATCATGCCCATTACATGATTGATTTTACACGTCCAACATGCAAATCATGAAACATGACAAACCGAATTGCTCCCTGTTATACAAAAAACAATAAACCAGATATCAGATAAAAAGCAATATATCAAGTATCAGATAGAGATGAATACCTGGAAAACCGATATGAGAAAACATACTGACAGATATAGCTGTGGAAACTTGGCGCTTATGTGATTTGACAAAGCTGAAAACTACCCACCTGACAGCATACATGTCCCCCTTGAAAACTACCCACCTGACAGCATACATGTGATTTGACAAATCTTTCATTTGACAAAAACCAAATTAACGCATTCAAATCCCACCTGTTTCAAGATCATCTCAAATCCAACATGAAACAATTACCAACAGAGGATTTTGCAAGATGGGTGGACTTATTCTATTGAAAACACATAACTTATATACAGAAGACGGGTGATGTTCAATGGCCTATATTGCTATAAATAAAAAAAATACAGCTTTGCTCTTAGAGCACTATAGAACTAAAGACACTACTTTTGTTGTACAAAAAGGAGATCTTTACAGTCATGGTCGTAAGAAAAATAAAAAGAAACAAAGCCCCCGAAGGATTTGAAAAGACCACCGAAAGTGGACTCATGCGTGGTTGCATAAAAGAATGCATTAACCATAATACCAGGTGTAAGAGTTTGTATGACCCCATGTGGTGCATTTGAACATTCTCAACAACAAGAAGTTCCATTCTTGAGAGCGTATATAATTATAAGATACTGGCCATAGATCATCAAACCATCATATTCAAGTCTGCAATTTGAACATTCTCAACAACAACAAGAGGCTCCCTTCTTGTCAGCGTATATAATATACAATACTGGCCAGGTATCATCAAACCATCATATTCAAGTCTGCAAGATCATCCATTGGGATTTCAAGCCCCATGAAATCGTGATCTTGTAATCCATCATCATCAAAGTTTAACCAAGATCCTATATCCTGTCCTTGGTTGCCCAGATCATCAGGAACACCTAAAACATCCATTCCAGGGAGCTGTAAGCCAGATAAATCAATAGGGTCCTCCAATTCTTCAGACTCACACTCTTTCTTATCCTTGATGGTGTAGTTTATGGTTATCTCATTTGTTTTTGATACTGAGGACCCGGTTGGCTTGGATTGCTCTGAAATCTTGCCAACTAGACTATTCATAGAAGTAGAGAGCTGAGCAGTTTTCTGTTTGGGTTTTGCTTTAGGCTTCCTTTCTCCCTTCATGTTGGTTGAGGTAGACCGACCAATTTTATTAGATCCATTTCTGGATAGGATCTCTCTGTAAGTTCCTTTCCCATCCCTCTCCCTCTCACTTCGTTTTCCTTTTGCAGTGCTCAAAGGTATGCCTGATGTAGCAACATTATTACCAACATCATCAAGAAACAACTCTCTTCTTCTGACCCTATTCACTTCATAAACTACACTGCCTTCAGTAAATACTTCCTGGTTTGAAGATGGGCTTTGCTGTTTTCCTAATGAAACTGCAAATTAAAAAAATATGTGCATGATCATAACTGTGAAAAGTAAAGCATGCTCTCATCTGCCTCACAGGTACTAACAAAAGGAAGCACACTTCAATCATTTAATGAATTACACACACAATAATTAAGAATACCTGAAGGTCTTGCATCCCCAGAGCTGCCAGGTTCACCATCGGTAATTGAATCTAATTGTCCATCACCAAAGTGGGATATCCCAGACATAAACATTTCTTTAAATAAAGACTCATTAAAGCAGCTCTTGCCAGTCTCCTCAAATTCTTGATACCTTTCCAATGTTCGCTTAACAAACGCTAGTGCAGCTTGTTTTGCAATTTTCCCACTTTTCATCCCATGCGCATTACGGCCACAGCAAGCCTGTTAAAAAGGGATCTGTCAGCAAACCACCCCAACCAAAAAGAAAAGCTAAAGCAGTATGTAAATCTACTATTTCTCCACTCACTGTATACACACATCTTAAGGATAAAGGGAAGACTGCAGTCTTCATTTAGACCATAAAATGGATAAGATTTTTGTCTTTCTACAAACACTTCAACAAAAAAGTGAAGCTAGAAGGGTAACAAGGGAAAGTAAAACTTTGTGTTGTGTTTCTTAAGTGAAATTTGGACATCCTTTTTTGTATGAGAGTATATATATGTCATCCTCAACGAGCTACCTCACATGTGAGCTAAATGGTTTTGGAGGGCTTACCATGTGGAAGTATTTGAGGGAAAGGCCTTTAAACTTACGGAAAACAAGTTACAACTCTTCTCATAGGACCTTTTTCCTTGACCATTATCAGAAACCTAGTATAATTGCAATTCCTCTCAAACATACTGAAAAGATGCACATTTATTACAAGGAATCCTTTTTGGTCAGGGTACAACTATTTTACTTTGACAAGGGACAACTGTTAAAAGAAATGAAATCCTAATTAAACTTAACTGCAATGATTGGTTAAACTAAATTTATCATATTGAACTAGTATGTAATTCTTTTTAACATAGTTCATAAAAAATCAACTTTCTTTGAGGAAAGAGGGCTTTTTCACCCAAAAAAACTTTTGAAAATGACTACTTTTGGGGGGCAGGAGGACTATATAGATAACCAATAAAAAAAAAAGAACTTGCAAGTGCTTGACTAAAGTACATTGCATTGAAGCAGAAATATTACCAAATTATAATAATAACACTGTTATTGAACAGCCTGCACAAATAGAAATTTCATCTAGCAACAGCAAAAATGAATCTACAGAGAATCATTCAAAATTCTTGGAAGATGCATAGCTGTTTCACAATTTCATAAAGTAAACATTAGGTTTTTATGAGTAGCTTGTCACATGGCTTTTAAAATAGGAGGATGTTTGGCTTCTTTCAAATTGCTAAATTTAGTTTTTACACACCTGCCATCCAAATAGCTATACCAATATTGAGCTAAGAATATAACTAACTAAAAAATAACTATTTTAAAAAACATAAATACTCGTGCTGCAATCACACTTTGAAAGTATATATACTCCTGCAGTACCAAAAAAATACAAGTTTCAAAGACTTTCAATGTAATTCACAAAACATATCATTACTCCAGTAAAACAACAAACATATTTAAATTATACATGTGGACTTAACCATTTAAGGAAACTTTACCTAACCCAAACTAATAAAGTTGTTGATTCATCGTACAAGGGACTTCTTGGGATGATGGTAGTAAATGTTTTTGAAAAGTAAAGTATTACTCTACAAAGTATTGAACATATTGCCTCTGTCCCATACTTATTGCATTTTCCATCATTTGTAATGGAGCTAGAGACTCAGTATTTTTTGGCTTGTGAATATGATGGAATAAAGCAAAATGACTCACTAAACTGTCTGCGCTTCTTTGTTATGAAACACCAGTCAGTCCATGCAATTTTTGACGCGATTTTCACTATGGGTCATCCAGAAATAGTTTCTCTGTGCTTTTAGTACAGGGGTAAGGATGCGTACATTCGACCCCCCTACTCCACCGTAGGTGGGAGCCTTTGTGGCACCGGGGTAATGATAATGATGATTGTTTGTAGACACTGAAATTGTGTGGTTGAGATTTATTTTAAAAAAAGGAATCTATATATATCATACTTCATCTATCTCTTATAACTTTGTCAACTTTCCTTTTTTTGTTGTTCCACTAACTTCGCCACTTTCCCTTTTAAATAAAGAATTGTGGTTCTTATTAACTCTCTCTCATTTGCACAAACCTAAACCCTAAGCCCTAAACCCTAATAAGGGACGGAGGGAGTACAATTTTGTTAGTATGACTTGACATTTCATTTTTAAAGGTTAACCTAATAAGAGTAGGCAAGATCTTACATGTTGGTTTCTTATTTTATAATAAATATATACAATTTCAAACATTGCCCATTGTCAATCATAGGGACAAAAGAATAGATGAATGATATTTACAGGTCATTCAAAATTTATAACGGTGTAGATACATACTCCCTCCGTCCCGGAAAATTATTCCCGCATTGACTTGGAACGGAGTTTAAGAAAGTGGGAATAAAGTGGATATGTATGGTTGTGGTTGAGTAAGAAAAAGGTAAATGAATTGTAGCCACAAAAAACTTTCCAAAAGGGGAAAGTGGAACAATTTTTTGGGACGACCCAAAAAGGAAACCGGGAACAATTTACCGGGACGGAGGGAGTATCATTTAGATATCAAATCTGATTTCAATGAAAGAAACAGTGATATAACAACCTCCAGTTGCAATTACGTTATACACAAGATTTGGGCATCATGATCTCATTTCCAACAACAACAATTACGTAAATGTGAAATTTAATCCATTAAACCATAATGGCATAATGAAAAACTGCATTATAAATTCTCATTGAGGAACATCCAGAATTACCAAATATTTCTTATATGCCATCTCTACGAGTTTGTCAAAAGCAAGCTGTTCAAAGTCCCTGCAACACATAAATTTGATTAGGAAGATACCATGCAGAGGTTATATAACATATCACAAAGCACGCTATATTACTTCTCTTGACACACTCTTGTCTTATCAGCATAGTTAAGCAGCTTGTGCAGCATACCATTCTTTTGCGATACCTACAAATAAAAGAAAGAAAGGTTAAATGTAATAGATAATAATGTAGGGATACTCTTGTAATTACTTATTCTTTGATTATTATAAATACATGCATACGGCTACCTCTAGGGTAAGCCATTCCCTCATATTTCTCATATGGTATCAGATTGCTAAGGGTATACGATTCTAACCCTAATGACATCTGCCATGACTGCGGCTGTTTCCTCGTTCGACTCCCAGGACTCGATCGACGCCAGCAGTATTCAGCCGAACGCTACTGCCGTTTTATCAGCTATCTCTTCTCAGGCGCCCACATCTCTTCAGTTGGAGCAGCCCCTTACAAGTCGCCCGCGGCCTTTATTCATGCAGGAGCAGACAGTACCCCCATCGTCGGCTATTTTCAGCGCTACCAGCCCTCATGTTTCCAGCTATTCTCTTTTTCAGATGCCGGAACCTTTTACCTGGCAGCCGACGATCGTTACCTCCTCTTCAGCCGCTGCAGTTCAGACCAGTGGCTCATCTATGCCTTTTAATCATGCCGTCGGTGGACAGTTTGAAATCGGTCCTCATCCACGCGGCCGCATCGCTCTCCATCCGGGTTCGGTAATTCACCATCTTATCTTTCTACTATGGCATCCCAGTTGACCTTCTCCACCCCTAATGTCACGAATATTGTTACCACTCGGTTGGCTTCGGTTGATGATTATTTACCTTGGAAAACACAATTTGAATCTTTTTTGGTCTCCCATAGTTTGTTGGGTATGTTGGATGGTACGAATCCCATTCCTTCTCCGTTATTTTGGATGCTTCTCGTAGGGAGATCTTTAACACGGATTATCAACACTGGTTGAAAATAGACCAAACTGTCCGTTCATGGCTATTCACCACACTTTCCCGAGATTTTTTTAATTGATGTGCATGACCTTAAATTTTCTTATCAAATTTGGGGTCACCTTAGAAACAAGTTTATGTCTGCAAGTACTGCATGGTCTATGGAAATTAAACGTCAACTTTCTATGAAAAAGAAAAAGCCCGGTCAGACCATGGACCAATATCTTCGCGAAATTAAGGTTGCTGCGGATTCTTTGGCGCTAATCAATTCTCCGATTAGTGACAAGGATCTCATAAAGTATGCTCTTCTTGGTCTTGGTCCGGAATTCGAGTCCATGCTAGGCGGTTTGGCATATATTCCTCCTACTTTTACTTTTGATCAGTTGGGACCTATTTTAGTTCTCCAGGAGCACCGACTGCAGTATATGCATGGGACAGATGCATCTTCATCACAGCATCAGGCTTTTGCCGCTACTGGGCAGTCCCCTTCGAGCTCACCAGTTCGCCCGCAGCATCAATTTCAGGGCCGAGGGGGTGCACCATCTCGGGGTGGTCGTGGTGGTCGCGGCCAGCGCTCACAGCGGGGTCACCAGGGCCGTGGCAGAGGGTATGGCTACCCCGGTACCCCTGGACAGCAGCCCTATCCACGTGGCTATGATTACCTGTATGCGGGACATCATGCATCTTACACTCCGGGAGCACCCGGTGCAGGTATGGGTAATATTCCTCTCGTGATTTCTTGTTTGTTTCCCTATTATACTCGTGGTACTCATACTAAAAGTGCAGGTTTCCCATCAGTTGATCACACTTATGCATCCCCCGCCTAGTTATGCATCCTCAGTTATGTTTTACACCGGGTCACTCTGCCATAACTTGCTCCAAGTTCACATCTGGTTCTTCTCTGGCCCTAGCTGCTTTACCCACCGGTGAGACCAATGAAGCGACATGGTATCCAGATTCTGGTGCCTCAGCTCATACGACCCCAAATGAAGGTATTTTAAATAATAAATCCATTGTTACTAACCACACTCATGTGCAGGTAGCTAATGGTACTAATTTATCTGTGTCTACGATTGGCAATGTACATTTACCTTCACTTGGCCGTCCACTTTGTTTAAACTCAGTATATCATGTTCCTCATCTAAAATTCAATTTACAGTCTATTCAAAAATTGTGTGAGGATAATGATTGTACTGCAATTTTTAACAAATCTTCTTTTTTTGTCAAGGACAATCAACGGGGGCAACTCTACTCCACGCTTCCAATAAGGATAGGACTTACCCCTTCACGGTTTCCTCATCACCTCTAGCCCTTTTTACTTCCTCTACACCTCGTCCGGTATGGCACAATCGCTTAGGTCATTGTGGTGATAGCATATTGTCTACTCTTCGGTTTATCTACTAGTTTTCATCATTTATGTACTTCTTGTAGACTGGGCAAATCCCATCGTTTACCTTTTCCAGATGTTTTACATACTGCTACTGCTCCATTACAATTAATTCATTCCGATGTTTGGCAGTCTCCTGTTTTATCCCATTTTGGTTATAAATATTATGTTTGTTTTATTGATGATTTTTCTAGATTTACTTGGGTTTATCCCATGCATAGGAAATCTGAGGTTTTTACCCATTTTTGTAATTTTCAGAAACTAACAGAAAATCTTTTAGGTTGTAAAATTAAATATTTTCAGAGTGATGGTGGGGTGAATTTAATAACCACCAATTTATTCATCATTTTCTTAATTGTGGTATTTTATTTCAAAAATCTTGTCCCGACACCCCTGCTCAGAATGGCGTGGCTGAACGTAAACACTGGCATCTTTTAGAATTAATACGTACCATGCTTATTGATGCACACCTTCCTCCTTCTTTTTGGGTTGATGCACTTTACACTGCCATGTATATTATTAATCGGCTTCCCACGCCTATTCTACAGGGTCCGAGTCCATATCAGAAAATTTTTCAAAAATCTCCTGACTATAGTTTTTTACGTGTTTGGTTGTGCGTGTTTTCCCAATAAAGTTGCCACGTCGGGCAATAAGCTATCATCGCGATCTACTCCTTGTGTTTTTATTGGCTATGCACCGGGGTACAAAGGTTACCGTTGTCTTGACCCTACCACTGGTCGCGTCTACATTAGTCGCGATGTTGTATTTCATGAGTCTACTTTCCCTTATCCTACCCCTTCTTGAAGTCAATCAACTCCTCCAAATTCCTCAAGTCAACCATTTTCTTCACTCCCTTCTTTTCCCACAAATGTAGCTCATCCTATCACACCTCCTCCCAGGCCCCCAACAGCTCATCACCCGCCACACTTAACTTTTCCGTCTGCACACACCAATACTCCTCCCAGCCCAATATCCTTGCCATCGATCCAGCACCATACCGAGTGTTGAAATATAAACTAAAATGATATTAAAGATGGAGAGAAAGATTTTCTGTGTATTTCATTGAAGGGTAAGGCCCTATAAATATAGATTACAAAGATAGAATATTCCTATAAAAGATGCTATACAATAATACTATATATGGTATATTCCTAATATATTCTAAAGCATATTCTAAAGTATATTCTAATATACTTTCACACTCCCCCTCAAGTTGGAGCATAGATATTTATCATGCCCAACTTGTTACATAAATAACCAACTCGAACTCCATTTAGTGCTTTAGTGAACAAATCTCCAAGTTGTTCCCCAGTCTTCACATATCCTGTAGAGATCAATCCTTTTTGTATCTTCTCTCGAATAAAATGACAATCGACCTCAATATGCTTTGTTCTCTCATGAAATACAGGATTGTTTGCTATGTGTATAGCAGCTTGGTTATCACACCACAATTTAGCAGGCATTGATGTCTTCAGTCCGAGCTCGGTCAATAAATGGCTTATCCATATGATCTCACATGCAGATTGTGCCATAGCTCGATATTCTGATTCGGCACTCGAACGAGAAACCACATTCTGCTTCTTACTCTTCCAAGATACAAGATTACCACCAACAAAGACACAATAACCAGATGTAGATCTTCGATCATCTTTAGAACCGGCCCAATCAGCATCTGCAAAACATTCTATTCTCATGTGATCATGGTTTTGATAAACAATACCTCGTCCTGGTGCACCCTTTAAGTAACATAATATGTGTTCTACTGCAGCCCAATGATCAATGGTTGGAGATGACATGTATTGACTTACTACACTCACGGAATAGGCAATATCTGGACGAGTGACTGCGAGATAATTAAGCTTTCCAACCAATCTTCTATATCTTTCTGGGTCTTCAAACGGTGTGCCTTCTTGAGTGAGTTGCACGTTGGGAACCATGGGTGTTGTACTTGGTTTTGCCCCTAATTTCCCGGTCTCAGCTAGTAAGTCAAGTACATATTTACGTTGAGATAGAAATATGCCTTTCTTACTTCGTGTTACCTCAATTCCCAAAAAGTATTTCAAAGAGCCAAGATCTTTCGTCTGGAATTGACTATGCAGAAAATTCTTAAGGGCCAAAATACCTGCATTATCACTTCCTGTAATCACAATATCATCAACATACACCACAAGCAATGTGACACCTGATTCTGTTTGTTTGTAAAAGACAGAGTGATCTGATTTGCCTTTTATCATTCCAAATTGTTCAATTGATTGACTGAATTTCCCAAACCATGCACGAGGACTCTGTTTCAGACCATAAAGAGATTTGCGAAGTCGACAAACCTTACCATACTCCCCCTGAGCAACAAATCCCGGAGGTTGCTCAATATAGACTTCTTCTTTAAGGTCACCATGCAAAAATGCATTTTTAATGTCCAACTGATGTAAGTGCCAATCATGAGTTGCAGCGAGTGAAATAAGTAACCTGACAGATGTTAATTTAGCAACAGGAGAAAAAGTGTCAGAATAGTCAACACCATAGGTTTGAGCATAACCCTTCGCAACTAATCGGGCTTTTAACCGAGCAACAGATCCGTCTGGGTTAACCTTAACAGCAAAGACCCACTTACATCCAATAGATTTCTTCCCTGTAGGCAAGTCAACCAAATCCCAAGTACCATTAAGATCTAAAGCATTCATTTCCTCTACCATGGCATGACGCCATTCAGGATGAGACAAAGCTTCTTTGACAGATTTGGGAACAGAAATAGAATCAATGGAAGCAATAAAAGAACATGAAGCAGGAGATAACTGATTGTAT